TACGTAGTAGTCGTTTACTTAACTACTACGTACGTGTACGTACTACTAGCAGATAAGTTAGTTAGTACTAACTTTAACGTTTAGTTCTTTCTTCTATATATAGTAGTACGTACGTACGTCGTCGTTGTTGTTATTATTCTCTCTCTCTCTCTCTCTCTCTCTCTCTCTCTCTCTCTCTCTTTTTCAGAGTACCATTCTTAGAATAATTACAAACATGAGTAGTCTCTTTAAACCATTACTCTTAAAGTGTTAGAAACCTTAATCGGTAGAAAAATGATTGATTGTTTTTTTGTTGAGAAAGTTTACCTAGAAAAATGTTTGATTATTTTTTTGTTGAGAAAGTTTACCTAGAAAAATGATTGATTGTTGATATTAGTAGAATCTTGAATTATATAAATACCATCGTCCTGATACACACTTCTTCCCACTTGCGCACAAGTAGCATGCCTGGCAATGGAGCAGGCTGCATTTTAGAAATTCTCCCTCCTTCCCACTTGAGCACAAGTAGCATGCATGGCAATGGAGCGGGCTGCATTGTAGAAAGTCTCTCTCTCTCTCACACACACATGCATGCACAACAAACATACTCGTACACAAACACTTTATTATAGAAAAATTGTCAGAATTCTTGCAGTTTTCCTGGCAAGGAAATATAGATTCATTGCGACTCCCTGTGCTGGCGTTGGAAATCATAGCCACCCAGAGCAAGGAGTACAAGGTTAGTAATTTTGGAAGTCCAAACCTTTTGGGCTCAGGGATGTTGACAGGAGAGGTGATTGGAAAGCCAAGACTTCAAAGGTTATTGAATGGGAGATGCCAAAGCTTTAGATGTGCTTGCGAATGTCTTGGGACTCGACTCTGAACGAGACACATGCACTTATTAAGATTTTTAAAGCTCAAGTTTACAGAGTTTGGCACAAGAGATGACAGAATAAGTAATATTGACGTACATGTAATTACCAGTATTATCTATGAGTTTTCCTGCTTGAGAGTAAATCTTTTCTGGTCATATGTATTTGTATCAAATTAGTACTGTAATATTGCTATTGACTTCCAGAGGCTTCCGCACATTGTGAGTTCTTTCTATCTGCACAGCTTGTAGCTCATCAGTTTTTAGCGAGTTTTGCCACATACTGTAAATTGTACACCATTAATAGTGGAAATGGAGTCCTTCAAGGTTAAACTCTAGACCATTATGGTGGAAAACAAATTTTTGTGCTCGCACATTCAACCCACTTTTAGTTTTGTCAGTTTGTGTTTGTGATTTTCTTTCTTTTGGTGAAGAAACCATTTTGGATTTACCCAAAAAAGTAAAAAGAAAAAAAAAAAACAAATATTTTGGGGTTGGGGCTTGTATGAGCCTATACAGCATTTGCCAAATTAGAGATATTCTTGGCAAATTTAGGAAAAGCTTTGGTCTAGTTCTTACATAATCTTGCCAATTTTGCCATTATGAGCGATCAAATCGACCAAGCTTCTCTCTTTATCGGACAAAAATTGCATGAAGAACACTTGCTTTGGTCTCAAAAGTAGCTTTCATTTGCATTATGTGTGTTACATATTATTGAAAAAGAAAATTTTAAATAGGAATTCAGCAAGTTCTATCAGGATTCCAATCAATTTGGGCTGAGATCAAGCCTTGTTAGAGTGAAAGCATTCACCTTTATTTGGGATTTGAGGCAATGTCTAGTATGTCTTTTCTTCCTGTTGGCCAAGACCAGAAGCATAGCCTTAGAACTCGGATTCAGGAAAAGGAGAATTCCGTTCGGAAGTCCTCTGAGTAGCTTAAAACAGTTTGATGCTCTCTCACTCAACTACACACCCCCAAGTTATTTGCCAAACAATGATTTTTGTCCGTCTTTACTAACTTTAATTGCCAAATTTAATTGTTTTACAATCTCGGCTAAATTCTATTATACAGCTCAGAAATAGCCTTGTGCGAATATGTCTAGAGCGAGTGAGACACAGAGAGCTCATTTTAAGGGGTTAGCAAATTTTACCAGTATGTTGAGTGTTACCCCCGTTCTTGAATTTCCATAGGAAAATATTCCATGATACATTGCAGCATGTAAATAGTGAATTCAAATCACATCAACCGACCATTGTGGACGACGGATGGTTGACTTTACCAATTCTTATGCTCAATTGGCTTATACATGTTCATCTTGAACCATCAGCTGTTGACAACTAACAGTCGAGATGACATGTTATTTACTGTTTGTGAACCATGTGTACATTTCTATGCCACTTCATTTTCAATACACGCACTTCTGTGAAAACAATATCTGGAAAGAAAATACATTCTGGTTTTATGAAATTGAACATTGACGTAGCCCCAAAATGAGCACATTGCCTTCTACACCAGTCAGGGCTTCATGTAGTTGGCCTTGTGCCGATGGGTGCTCATTCTTTTAACCCAAAAACCATGAATAAGAAGGCACAAAATCCATCAATTTTCCATATTAATGTGTCCTTCACAAGAGAAATGCCTACATGTCATTTCATATCATCAGTGCTCTTTGAGAGTATCTTTGTTAGTGCATGGGATATGATCCCAATTGGACAGAAAAGTAGACATAGAGAGACTGAGTGCCGGGTCTCAACCCGGTTCTTAAGTCCATCATGGTACACCTGCCTGAACACGAAATCATAGAAGACACTTAATATGCAGCTGCCCCATATCTTCCAAAAAGAGAGAGAGAGAGAGAGAGATTAACAAAATAACTATATCAAATTACATGTATTTTTCTTTACATAGATGTAGAATAATGACATTCTACATGGAAAAGAAAGACCAGATATTGCATGGTATTCAACCACTCATGGTCTACAGGAATGGAATACCAAGTCAATACTAAGGAACTGTGGTCTTTTAGAGGTCGAGCATCTAAAGTAATCATGAATCCTAACGTAGGGAGGGTATATTCACAAAAATGACTGTTTTGTATGATTGGATTCCTTTGCTGCATCCTAAATTTGGAGGAAAGGAGGCAAAAGGTACCTAAGAAGATTCATTATGAAACTCTTAGAGAGGATGAAAGACTTCATAATTTGAGTCAAGTCACATTTCACATGCAATGACATCAGATTCAAGAAATAATATATTATTAGCACTAAAGCAAACTACAAAAGGACGACCTATTATTATCCTTTGCCATGCTACAGAAGTAGATATATGGAACAACTAAAAACTTCTTTATAGCATACCTTGCTGCAAAAAGATCAACAGTCAATAAGTGGAGCCATGCAGAAGCCAGAGTCATCTCATTCGAGAACATTTGTGCTATACCAGGCAACTGCACAAAGAGCCTCATATAGTATCACTAATTAAGAAAGATGGAGCGGACACAACATGGGAAGTGTATTTCAGAATGCAATCAAGGATGTTATATGGTAATTCAGAGGACAATCCACTGTTCTGATAATACACGGTGGAGGTTATATATAGCTGGATGAATGTCCTATCCAGCCCCAGGGAAGTGGATCTCCCTGTATATCATCAGGAATTGAGGTGGTCCTTTTATGTGTACTTTGTCCTCATAACATAGAGAGCCAAACAAAAGAGAGTGTGGAGACGTGCAGTATGTCAACACTAATAGGCAATGTGGAACTATTAAATACACACCTCAGGGAGCCAGTATTTACTAGTAAACATTAGCCGTAGGGTGTCAGGTGTCCAAGAGAGATAGAGAAGATAAGCATACAAAGCTCCAAGCACAATGTAGGGTATATTGCTTTCCATGGATCTCCTGGTCTGTATTTTATAGTAATACAGAAAATATATGATCATAATCAATATTATCATGAGTGCACTGAAGCTTAGAGCAGATTGAGAATAAAAATGGAACTTTGATTCATAAGCTTTCCTCTGAATTAACAATATATTAAAAATGTTAAGGGATAGCTATGGACAGAAAGGAACATAAATGAAATATATGAAATCATTACCCAAGACAAGTAGAAAAAATAAAGAAATGTAAAGATAGTGAAATTACACACTTATCTATGTAACCCACACAAATACACAAAGCAACACACTAGGCCTTCATGAATTGGAAGCATATTGAGTAGATTACTGGTATTGCAAACTTACAAAATTGATAAAAGAATATATGCTTTTCTAGTAAAACACTACATTAGTCAATATTCAAAATTGTTAATATAGGATGACAGGCATGTATTTGTAGGAATCTATCAAAGGCATAATGCAGGAAAAAAAAAGAATTACCTGCGAAAAAAAAGTTACTACAGTAATTCCAGATATTTTCTTTCTATTGGTGCTAGATAAAATATCTAAGAGCCCCTAATTTACTGAGGAATGTCTATAAGATACTAGCAAAAGTCATTGCTGGTAGGCTGGGAGAAGTATTGCCTCCCGTAATCTCTCAACTCTCAACCACACGCTGCATTTGTCAAGGATAAGCAGATACTTCACAGAGCCTTGGGAGCACGAGTGCATACAAGCTATAGAACAAATCCCATAGAAACATGCAAATTAGATTTCAGAAAAGCTTTCCATTCTGGGGCTGGGCAGTTCCTGATGACAAAATGAGACTGATGGAGAAATGAACTGTAATTCAAGTTGTTTGCCCACTTTTACATTTTTTAAGTGCTTATCAATGCACTACCTAAGGATTTTCCAACAAGACCCTCTCTCCCCACTTTCTTGTTCTTAATTGTGCTGAATAGCTCCAGTCATATGCTAGATGGGGTCTATGCGGTTCAACCGAATCAGGATTGAAGGCCTTGCTGAAAGGCCTATCGGTTTCCAATATGCAATATGCAAATGATATGTTAGTATCCTGTGATGCAAGCAAGGAACAAATGAACAGCCTATAGATGTTTTTGAGATGCTTTTGAGGTGGCTTAAGAGTTAGCATGTCCACAACTAAACTGATAGGGTCTCTGTCTCAAGAACTCCAGGGTTTGACAGTATGTGTAGGAAGTGGCGTTGACAAGCTGCCAACAAATACCATGTCCGCAGTTGTGCCTATGCAAACCAAAAGAGCTTTATAAGGGTTCATGTAAAGATATAGCAGAAAGACAGCAGCTCGGAAACCTAGACTTTTGTCATTGGGAGGCAGGATAACATTGACAGAGCCGTCAGCTATATGTTCCTCTATTCCATTTCCTTGTATATCACAAACACAACTAAAATGACAACGCCAGACCTTCTTTCGGGGTGATTAAGTGATTAAACGCAAATTTCATTGAGTGATTTAGGACATGGCATGTAAGCCGAAGTGTAAAGGGAGGCTGAGCATCCGCAAAATCAAGGACATGAAGAAGGCTGTGCTATTGAAAGTGGTGGTGAAGGTCCAGAAAGCTGTCTGACCAGTGATGACAGCAGGTGGCAAGCATGGCACTGGAGAAGTTGGGTGGCTGCGGAGTATTCTAGCAAAGGTAGATTCTCTGAGAAATGGAATGGTATAAACAGCTGCAGGTAAATATTTGTGGAAAAATGCATGTGGGAAATGGTAGACACACACAAGGTTTTGGTTTAGTAAATTGGAAATCAACCTCAGCGTGAACAATACCCTAAGCTTTGGCTACTAATCCAAATATCACAGTTACTGAAACAGTGAATGATACTTTCTACAAGACGCATTGGACTCGGGATGTCATGTGAGCATTAAAGAAAGATGCTACAGGACTTGAAACAGACCTTTTTTCAACCTGGAAGTAGTAGATAAGCTGATATGGAGTTCTGGCTGAGGTCAGTGCATCGAATCATCACCAGAACCACTGAGGAAATCCATAGCTCATGGGGATTGGATGATCCTAGGAGCGCCAAATACCCAAGGTTTCTAATGGGTGGTAGTTTCGAACAAGGTGTTAGCTATGACAGGAATGTGAATCCCAAAGAACTGTACAATGTACAAAGGGGATTTTAAAATCACAAATTCTTACATTATATGGCACCTATGCAAGTATGGATGTTTGTGCTAACCTTTGTTTGGTATTATGGGTCTATCATGCATTTATCAAGAATTTGTTTGTACAATGATTCACCCCACCACTGCCTAAGAATGTCCTAATTAATTAGGAAATTAACCCTGTTGGCTATACCTTCGCTGATATCGCCAGAGAGGAATGACAGGAAAATTCAATGACAAGGGAAACAAGGCAAACAAGCTGCAAGAATGAGTCAAGGCTACAATGATCTTGTGGGCCAGATCTACAAAGGGGTTTTGGGGGTTTTTCAGTGGCTGACTTTGAGTATGGTATATCTACTAAATGGAACTTGCCATCTGAGGGATGGGTATTGAACTTCAATGGAAGTTCAAATGGGAATTCAAGGCCTGCCGGCATCAGAGGCATTTTGAGGGGGCTTAGAAACATTTATACAAGATGGTACTGAATCATAATAAGGGGGAGGGGGAAGTAAACAAAGTCATCAGCTGGGCGATGGGTAAGGACATGTCCTTGGTGCCTCCATGTATTTGAAGAAAAGGACACTCATAAAGGATATGCAAGCTTCCTTCAACCATGTGAGGTGTGAGTCTAATGAGGAAAAGCCAATCCGCTTGCTTGTGATGGAGTCACCAAAACATATAGCGGTAACATTGTTTGATGAGTGGGGTATAATTTTGGGATCTAGTGTCTGTAGGCCCTGTGTTGTACATTGAAAAGCCATATTTGTACATCAATTTTGGGTGATGAAATGCAGTTAAATTTTCCAAAAAATAAATAAAAAGAAAACAATAAAATCTAGATCTTCCTTCAATAATATAATAACACATGGATGCATAAAACAAAGCATTACAAAGGAAAGAGTCATTGACATGCAATCTTCCCCTTTTTCACAAAGCTATATGCATGTAAAAAGATCCCATAATCAAGACATCCCTCTCCACTAACAATCTTTGGGGAGTTTTCTAGCACATGCATCAGTCTCCAAAGGCTAGCGGTGGCCAAGATATCCCACTAAGTCACTTTGAGTGTGTTGCCCTCTATCCGTAGTCCTGAGAAATAAACTTTCAGAGGCTGGAAGTGTCACACATCCAGAGTATCTTCTAACCCAAGGCCAGTTGCGCCAAATATGATTGATATCAAAGTAACCTTGTCAGTAAGTCGACTTAGTGAACTATATTTAGTTCTTTATGTTTCTCACTTCAATAAATTATTATTGGTAGTTCTTTATGTTACAATATGTTTTTGCCAATTCTTTATTCATGATGCACATTACACATTTTAAACTACATAGCAATTTCCATGTTAATAAGTATGTCATAGACATGATCTTAAAGCTCTCTCTCTCGCTCTATACAGCAAATTTCCATGTTAATAAGTATGTCATAGACATCACTTTAGAACTCCTTCCCTCCCTCCCACCCTCACTCCTAATGCCGTGAACTCCAATTGGGACGAGGCTTTTGAATATTGGAAAAAATAGCTTCTTCTTTTATAGTTACAACTGGATTAAATAGCTCGCTATATACTTTGCTTGAAATATAAATGCTTATGTAGTTCATTACATTTAGCAGCACCACCAGCCTCACGTAATATTTACTGTCCTAGGCTTTATACCAATTTTTCTGTGTCAAAGATTTGTTTTTTCATTTTATTATCGTATGGTTTCTTTGAAATTTATTTTTCTCAAATTGTGAGATAATTTAGATAAAATTCCTTTATCCTCACCAAGAAAACTTAGAGGTTAGACAAGAAAAGTCTGCAAGAAATTTGAGATAATTTAGATAAGATTCCTTTTATCCTCACCAAGAAAACTTATAGGTTAGACAAGAAAAGTCTGCAAGAAAGGGAAATTAACTATGGTATCTTCATCTCACCAGTTCCACTTTAGGGGCTAGAACCATGAGCGTGTAGAATGGAAGAACAGCAGCCGTTCCCATTGTGAAGACTCCACTAGCAATCTGTGAACTTGTGAACCCTGTAGGAGATCAGTTATGAGAAAACGTGAGAGAATGCTCTTTCTATATGCAATAAAAGACCTCCCCAACATGCTCCATGCAGACAAGATGCATTGGGCAGCCTTTAAAAGTATTATTTGCATGTAGTAATCAGGCAGATTGGGCCCAATTTCGACTGGGAAAACCAAAAATAGCCTAGAGGGCTAACGTCTATACAAAGTGCAGGAGTTGTTCCTCTGAAACTCAGGCTGAAGCCTGCTAACTTTTGTCTAAATTTCAGCAATCATTGACTCTGTGCGTGTGCGTCTTGCATTTATAAAAATTGGCACATTTTCTTCAATCTTAGAGGTGAACTTTGACTGAAGTCATAGATTTTGGTTTTATTCCATTTCTCATTTCTCTTTTGACTTTGATCGATATTTTATTTTGACCACATTCAGAACTTCAAATTTTGGAACCTTGCATTTTATTCTAATGCTAATATTAGACCGCTATCATAAAACATAGACAAAGCAGAGAAGAATCAGGCAATTGACTTCACTAAGAACATACAGAGTCATGGAAGCACATGATAATGAAATTGGGCCTTTTTACAACATGAGGGACTTGTTTAAGCTGAGCTGGCGCAAAGAAATGCACCGATGCATTTCAAATTGGCAAAAGGCCTGCCAAATGAAAAGCACCAAATCAGTGCTAACTAAAACTAGAACAACTTTATCCAACCAGACAAGTGTATTTCCATTTTCATTAAAACAACTCATGTTTAAATGAAACGGTAAAGATTTTCTGTTTCAATTCACATCCTATATTCATCCATCTGTTTTGGAAAAATTGTACTTTCAAGCATGAGGGATCACAAAAACATAAATCAGATTTTTGCTGGAAGATGGTTCAAATCTCCATATACGTCAGAACATACATAACAGAAATTTTAAACATTTCGTTTTGACTAAAAGGAAATTATCAGGAAATGTGTCATTTGAGCTAGCAAACTAACATCGTCGCTTTCCCAATTTTTGCATTAAAAATCAACAACTTGACAATTACCAAACCAAGAAACATGAAAAAAAAATGCAACTTGACGGTTTTTTTTTTGGGAGATAAAAATGAAGTAAAGACGAAAAACATCATGGGGACTAAAAGTGATGCCCATAATGAAACTCTGAAGTCATTAAAGACGACTTTTCTACACTTTTACACTTCTTAGAACTTCTGAGCAAGAGTATCATGATGCATGATGCAAAAGACCCTAGAGACTGTTGTGGGCTGTTAGGGGCAGTAAACATGCCTAGAAATTTTTAGTGACAACTAACTTCAAACATAAGAAAAAAAAATGCCCGAGGCTACCTCTTTTTGAAGAACACTTATTATCACACTCAGCTAGACACAAATGTATCGAAACTCCATCTAAACTCCAAAGTGAGCATGTGCACATACACACACACATTGAGAGAATACGTTTTCTTTTCTAACAAGGACAAACACTGATTTTTCTGTCCAGGGATGGCACATACATTCCAACATAACATCACAACGTAAAGATTATAAACGAGGAGTAGCATTCTCTGAGAAAACCAAAGTTTCAAAGACTGTTGTGATTTCTTTGTAGTGAAGAATTATAGAGGACAATTACAAAAATAAAAAAATCTGAATAGTACATTCAATTGAGGAAGCACATTCATACATTGAAAGCCAAAATTTAACATTTGAGAAAGCCATATTGTCTCAGTAGGATCAACGTAATTATAAAGCACACATCTTGGCTTTTTCAATAACAGACTTAGAACAATCAGAATGAAACATTGTGTATGGATCAAATATTCAATATCCTTGTTTGCATAACAGGCACACTAAACCTACATACATTTTGGATATCAGCACATCTAATCTAATAAACAAAAAGAACATAAATAAATCAACAAATAATGCATTTAGAAGCAAAATACAGCCGCAAATATAGAAGTATTACACGAAGCAGAAACACGTAATCCCTTGGTATTAGAGGGTAAGGATGTCATTTTCCGCGGAATAAGTATAAGTTTGGTTCCTCCAATAAAGCTCGGCTCCCTTCTCAGAATGTGACTATGTCTGTGTTCAATTCCCATTTCTGTGAAAGCCAAGACATCCTTTCTTTTCAAACTATACAAGTGGCTGAATTGTCTAGGGTGGTATGACCAATGGACCTACAAGAGAATGAATATGTTACAGTATAAAAAAGAGGTTTGATTTCAGCATTTGTGCACAAATTTGCATCCAATGACTGATTTTCCCAAATCATCAGAAATAGGAAGGCATCCAAAGTTTCAGAATTTGTTAAACAAGGAGAACCAAGATTACAAATATAACCCTCATAATTTGCAAAGATCTGCAAGCATGACATAGCACACAAGACACACTGATTAGTAAGCCCTCTAACATAACCATGACTATGATAGTTGCCCATTGGAGGCACTACAACAACCAAGTCCAAAAACCATGTGTAAAATGGTTTGGCAAGCTACTGTATTTATTAGAGAATGGGGATTTTTCTCAGACAATTCACAAGTGTCATCATCAGTGAAATGAGAAAACCAGTTCTCAAATACCAAGTTGGGTTTTTATATTTTCCATCAAAACATCATGAAAAGGCCACCAGTGGACAGATAATGAAGAACAAATAGCGAATGAATGAAACATCCAACACATATACATGAATAAAAGGTGCACCTGCAGAGAGTTTGAAGCCTTGCATGAGTAAAAGAGCGCCATTTTATTGAGCAAGAAGAGCACGAGAGAGCTACCTGTAAAAATACGAGCCACCTGGAGAAAACTCATGAAGAGATACAGTTTGCTAAGTTCCAGGGAAAAGGCAAAATCATAGTGCTGTGAAAAGTCATTGAATTTAATAAAAATTTGGCGCACCCATCAAAAGCAGCTGACTCCATTATACAAGCAGGTGAGCATTTGGACAATTTCCCAGATGGGCCCATGTGGGTTGTTCCGCACTGGTCGCTCACAAGAAGAAGTACACCATTAAAGTAATTATTTTCCTTTTCGGGGCCTATTGTCCATATATCTAAAGTTTGGAGTTTGGAGTAGCCCACTCTGAAGGAATTGCTATGTGATTGGAAAGTCCTGACCATATATGAATTTGGAAGAGTAAGTATGCAATAACACCTTTGACCTTTCCAGCTAGAATTCACAATCCACTAGGGGTGAAAGCAAGGCTTGAGAACCAAGGGCTTTCAGAAAAGAAGAGGATTTGTATGAGTCCATGTAGAAATGAGTGGCCTCTTAAAAATTTGTTTTGGAGAGGGATTTTTGGACCTAATTTTTATGGACATGTAATCTTTAACATGGAGATCATGAATATGAAAAAATAAATAAATTTTAAAAAGTAAAAATAATAATTTTATAAGCAAACATTTGGACGGTTAGTTTCAATTATTTTTAGATAGACCACTTATTTACATCCCTCTTTAAGATGGATGCTTTATAACTCGGGGACCACAAATGTAGAAATATAGTCCCGTTGCATGAAACAAATTTCCGTAAAAACCTTTTAGATTGTGGGATCTTTATGATGTTTGTATATGGAGATTATTAGCATTGTTTTAACTCAAAAAAAAAAAATGTCTAAATGTAAGGAAAAAGTATATATAAAGTTCAACCTTAAAATGTAGAATTAAAGATGCACCTCAAAAATCTATCTGAAAAGGTTGGTTTAATGTTGAAAAATCCTAAATTGATCATCTCAACATCGAGATGTATGATATGAAAAAAAAAATGATGTTGATTCACAGAAATAGTGCATCTTGCAACACATTATCTAGGCAGTCTATTTTCAAGATTTTTTATATGCTTATAGATATACTGAATCTTAACCATTTTTTGGAGTTTAAAAATTTATAGTTAGAGATGAAAATAGATTTTAAGATAATCCTAAGAATTTTTTACACCAAAATTACATGTTATGATAAAATTTGGAGGTGCGCCTTAATTGGATTGTTTAAGGTTGCAACTTTATAAAAACCACACTCTTTAAATATATACATGCACATCATATATATAGGTAAATTTATTAAAAT